GAAAAATTTATTTCGGTTGAGCTCTCTGGGGAGGAAGTATGGATTTGTAAACAGTGACTATTACGACTAATAATGCATGACTCTTCTGTAAATCGAATCGAGTTCTCTCAGTCACTGCGTTTTTATCTAAAAATAAATACGCTTTCACCTTCCCTGCCTTGCGCCAACGGCCTAGGGGTAAAATCTCCGACTGACGCCAATTCAGCCGGGTTTCGATCCTAGCTAGAGGCAACCGGACGTCTAGCCACACTGATGAGCTGCGAAACAGTCTGTATGTGGATGACAATATATATATATATATATATATGACATTCGCATTTAATATATATATATATATATATATATATTAAATACGAATGTCAGTGTGTCACACTTTTTCTACTTTACTCCTAGAGGCCGTAGCTCAACATATATCATTTCGGGATCAAACCGACACGCAATCGGATTTTTGGATTCCCAAGTTTTCATTACTGCGATTGTTTTTAGATTCCGCCATCTTGGCTTCTGCTGATAAAAACAATTAAAGGGACACAACTCTCTATCTTTCAATAGCTCATGTTAAAAAAATAAAAACAATCCGGTTGTGGAACCAATTTAAAATCAAACTCAGCGTTGCTTTGGCGCGTTCCAAAACCAATATCTCATTTTCAATAGCATTTCGGATACAATACACATATATTTTCGATGTCCTCTTATTACTAAGAGAAAAAAACAAGAACAACATCTATTATATACCTGAAGATGTCTGTAGGAACAGACGAAAGCTTGTAGTAAAAATAACAACTAATACGGCAGAAATTTATATAAACAAGGATCAATTCATTCATAACGGATCTGGAGGTTTTTGTGTACTATTTGTATTGTTGGCGATGATGGATGTCTCGGCATTTAAATCATTAACCTTTGCATTAGTTTTGTGTGAATAATTCATGTATTTGTAAATTGATTGCACGTTTATTGTAATATATATATATATATATATATATATATATATATATATATATATATACTAATCCTACAGATTTTTATTACTAGTGGATACTCGTGTTTGAGTAGACGCTCCGTTTATTTACTAAAGAGTATATTTATTTATTTTCACCTACTGACCTGAATATTAAAGAAATCTTATTAGAGTAAAATTTGCGTTCTCCGTAGAAGTAATATATATATATTCCGTTTAAGTAATATATATATATCTATATCTATATATATATATATATATATATATATATATATTACATGAAGCATTCATACAAAAACAGATAGAGAAGTTAATGATTTAAATGGCGAGAATACATCTTCGCAAACAAATTTAATAAAGTACATTAACCCCGAACCTGTAGATGAATGTTATGATCCCTGTTTATAAATTCCAGTTGCATAAGGTCTTTTTTTAGTTTTTTACAACCTTTCGTCTGTTCCTGCAGACATCTTCAGGTATGGAAATAGATTTGTTTTTGTTTTTTTACATCCCGGTAATAACAGGACGATGAAAATAGAGATGTAATCCGAAATATGTTTTTAGAAATGTGCTACTGCCAATTGCAAGAAATTTTTTTTTTGGGGGGGGGGCTGCGTTCGCAACGCTGAAGTTGAATTTTTAAATTTTAATTGTGCGTTTTTGTACTAATATGGTAATAGGAGAATTCTTTTGTACTGGTAGGTTTTTCAGTCAACGTGGCATGAACTATATTGTTCAATAAATAGAGAAATGTCACAGTTATTATCCGAAAGTTGCACATCGGATCAGTTATTTTAATATCAAGTATGTAGTGCAGTTCAATTTACATTACATGAATCATCCATACAAATTTTTTTTATATATGAATGATTCATGTAATGTAAACTGAACTGCACCACATAGTTGATATCTATCTATCTATCTATCTATCTATCTATCTATATATATATATATATATATATATATTTATTAAATATAACAGACAATGAATGTCTATTTTGTCTGATCATGAGCTGTTCTAATATTCGCATGTTTGCTTTAAGTTCGGATGAATATATATATATATATATATATATATATATATATATATATATATATATATAAACACTTGTTTTTTAGTGGCTATTCGTATTTGAGTAGGCGCTCTATTTATTTATTAAACGGTATATTTATTTATTTTCACCTACCGGCCTGAATGTTCGAGAAATCATATTAAAAAAAAATCTGCGCCCTTCTGCAGAAATCGAAACTGCGTCCCAATCTCTCTCTCTCTCTCTCTCTCTCTCTCTCTCTCTCTCTCTCTCTCTCCACACACACACAAACATATATATATATATATATATATATAATCATTGCATTGAGCATGAGATTCTGAGTTGTACTGTCAACATAAGGTTATGTATATTTACTAATATATACTTAATTGCTCTGTTATTTAACATTGAGCACTGTTTTTCTTCCAACAAAGTATCTTTACTTATCATATATATATATATATATATATATATATATATATATATATATATATATATATATATATATATATTACAGCAGAAAAACAAAAATACCTCAACATACGCAGCTATCATCAGCATCTATGTGTCTGTCTTGAGCATTAAATTTATTTTCAATGTCAATCCTCCTCTGGTAGACGCCTTTTTAATGATATTTGGTTTGTGTTAACAACTGGTAAGGCCGTAAGGTATCTTAACCCGCGGGCGGGGGTGGGGGCGCTCTGGGGTTGGAGTTTATTTATGGCCAGGACCTTTCGTTGTTTATCGTTTAATGTCAGTGTGGTGTTTTTATACGTGACCCAAGTATGTTTTCCTGGGATTCACACTAAATACGTTTTATACTACAAGGGTCCAATATTATTAATAAGCGATGGAGGATTTAAACTTAATCCCGTTAAGATTAATGTAAATTAGTTAAATTATAGATTTATAGATTGTCGGTAATACCAGAGCACAAGATGGAATTAATTTATTCCATCTTGTGCTCTGTCCAACATACGTATATGCGTACATATCTTCATACATACATATATGTACATTTACATGTTCATACATATATGCCACTAGACGTACACAAAAACCCCCACATATATGAACATGTATTCTTACGTAATTTGGAATTTATTTCTATGTCTACATTTCGTGATTAAATACATATCCTCTGTTATGATAAATACATTGAGCTCTATGTGAATCCGTTTTGATAACTAATATTATTAGATCCATCCGGATTATATACCAACAGGTCTATTACCTGTACTATATATATATATATATATATATATATATATATATAGATATATATACACACACACACACACACACACACACACACATATATATATATTCAAATATATATATATATATATTCAAATATATATATATATATATATATATATATATTCAAATATATATATATATATATATTCAAAATATATATATATATATATATATTCAAATATATATATATATATATATATATTCAAATATATATATATATATATATATTCAACATTATATATTATAGTCGCTGTAAATGTTTCTCGCACATGCAAGCTTACAAACACAATCACGCGACCTGTCTTGCAATTTCTTCGTCTGACTCGAATCGCACACACACACACGCACGCACATATTTACACACATACACACTCTTTCACACACGCACACTCTTTCACACACACACACACTCTCTCTCTCTGTCTCTCTGTCTCTCTGTCTCTCTCTCTCTCTCTCTCTCTCTCTCTCTCTCTCTCTCTCTCTCTCAGTCTCTCTGTCTTTCTTTCGTTCGTTCGTTCGTTCCGTCAATTCTATTATGTGACGCGTGTCTCCCGGCAGAAACACTTTGATCAGGCACCCAGTCAACCCTTCCTGATTTTGTCTGGTGATTGCTAGAGTCTCCCCTGAGTTTGGAGAATTCAAAACCACACCCCTCACTACCCACCTTCCCCACACCGTCCTTTTGTCTCTCTCTCTCTCTCTCCATCTCTCGCTTTTCTCTTAGCTTACTGCCTCTCTCTTACTTTTTTAGTCGTCACTCCCTTTGTGTTCCGGGTAACAAGCGAGAAGGTAGTCACGTTGGCAAGGCAAGACTTCTTGCACCTACCCACCTCGATCTCTCTCCCCCCTCTCTCTCTCTCTTCTACCCGGACACCATGGTTCTGACTCTCCCGTACGAAACAAACCGTAAAATCAATAAAAACAATGACTCATGCAAACAGACGTGGGTGACGTGGGGGGTGGGGGTGGGGTGAGAGAGAGAGAGAGCGAGCGAGCGAGCGAGAGACGGCAGTCGAAATCATGCAAGACAGAGCTTCTCATAGTTCTTAGACTTCGTCTTCCTGCTTGCCTCTCTCTTTTTGGCTTATTCACTCGGTCTCTCCTTTCAACTCATTGGCATATCTGTGTCAGTAAGATATATATATATATATATATATATATATATATATATATATATATTTTTTCTTTTCGTTTTATACGAATTTCCTTTATGCTATATTTCATTCATCCATTCATTCATTCTCTCTTTCTTATTATATTTCTTTCTCTCTTGTGATCATGTCATTTTCTCTCTTATATGCTCTTTCCGTCTTTCTTTCTTATTTGCTCTTTCTTTTTTTCCTTATATAATCTTTCTTTCTTTCTTTCTTTCTTTCTTTCTTTTCCTTACACGCTTTCCTTTTCCCTTCTTGGCATCATTTTCTTTCTTTCTTTCTTTCTTTCTTTCTTGTGATCATGTCATTTTCTCTCTTATATGCTCTTTCCGTCTATCTTTCATAACGGCTCTTTCTTTCTTTTTTTTCTTATATAATCTTTCTTTCTTTCTTTCTTTCGTATTATGTTTCTTTCTTGTGATCATGTTACTTTCTCTCTTATATGCTCTTTTTCCTTTCTACTTTCTTTCTTTCTTATTTTTTCTTTCTTTCTTTTTTCTTATATAATCTTTCTTTTTTTCTTTCACCACGTTACTTTCTCTCTTATAGGCTCTTTCCGTCTTCCTTTCTCACCTGCTCTTTTTTTCTTAAATGCTCTTTCTTTTTTCTCATGTAATCTATCTTTCTTTATTTCTTTCTTGTGATTATCTTACTTTCTCTCTTAAATGCTCTTTCTTTCTTTCTTTTTCTTTCTTTCTTTCTTTCTTTCGTTATTTCTTTCTTTCTTTCTTAAATGCTCTTTCTTTTTCTTATATAATCTTTCTTTCCTTCTTTCTTTCTTTCTTTCTTTCGTATTATGTTTTTTTCTTTCTTGTGATCATGTTACCTTCTCTCTTATATGCTCTTTTTTCTTTCTTTCTTTCTTTCTTTCTTTCTTTCTTTCTTAAATGCTCTTTCTTTTTCTTATATAATCTTTCTTTCTTTCTTTCTTTCTTTCTTTCTTTCTTTCGTATTATGTTTCTTTCTTGTGATCATGTTACCTTCTCTCTTATATGCTCTTTTTTCTTTCTTTCTTTCTTTCTTTCTTTCGTTATTTCTTTCTTTCTTTCTTTCTTAAATGCTCTTTCTTTTTCTTATATAATCTTTCTTTCTTTCTTTCTTTCTTTCTTTCTTTCTTTCGTATTATGTTTCTTTCTTGTGATCATGTTACTTTCTCTCTTATATGCTCTTTTTCTTTCGTTCTTTCTTTCTTTCTTTCTTTCTTTCTTTCGTTATTTCTTTCTTTCTTTCTTTCTTAAATGCTCTTTCTTTTTCTTATATAATCTTTCTTTCTTTCTTTCTTTCTTTCTTTCTTACGTATTATGTTTCTTTCTTGTGATCATGTTACTTTCTCTCTTATATGCTCTTTTTCTTTCGTTCTTTCTTTCTTTCTTTCTTTCTTTCGTTATTTCTTTCTTTCTTTCTTTCTTAAATGCTCTTTCTTTTTCTTATATAATCTTTCTTTCTTTCTTTCTTTCTTTCGTATTATGTTTCTTTCTTGTGATCATGTTACTTTCTCTCTTATATGCTCTTTTTTCTTTCTTTCTTTCTTTCTTAAATGCTCTTTCTTTTTCTTATATAATCTTTCTTTCTTTCTTTCTTTTCTTTCGTATTATGTTTCTTTCTTTCTGATCATGTTACTTCTCTCTTATATGCTCTTTTTTCTTTCTTTCTTTCTTTCTTTCGTTATTTCTTTTCTTTCTTTCTTTCTTAAATGCTCTTTCTTTTCTTATATAATCTTTCTTTCTTTCTTTCTTTCTTTCGTATTATGTTTCTTTCTTGTGATCATGTTACCTTCTCTTTATATGCTCTTTTTTTCTTTCTTTCTTTCTTTCTTTCTTTCTTTCTTTCTTTTCTTAAATGCTCTTTCTTTTTTCTTATATAATCTTTCTTTTCTTTCTTTCTTTCTTTCTTTTTTCTTTCGTATTATTTTTCTTTCTTGTGATCATGTTACCTTCTCTCTTATATGCTCTTTTTTCTTTCTTTCTTTCTTTCTTTTTCTTTCTTTCTTTCTTTCTTTCTTTCTTTCTTTCTTTCTTTCTTTCTTTCTTAAATGCTCTTTCTTTTTCTTATATAATCTTTCTTTCTTTCTTTCTTTCGTATTATGTTTCTTTCTTGTGATCATGTTACTTTCTCTCTTATATGCTCTTTTTCTTTCTTTCTTTCTTTCTTTCTTTCTTAAATGCTCTTTCTTTTTCATATATAATCTTTCTTTCTTTCTTTCGTATTATGTTTCTTTCTTGTGATCATGTTACTTTCTCTCTTATATGCTCTTTTTCTTTCTTTCTTTCTTTCTTTCTTAAATGCTCTTTCTTTTTCTTATATAATCTTTCTTTCTTTCTTTCTTTCGTATTATGTTTCTTTCTTGTGATCATGTTACCTTCTCTCTTATATGCTCTTTTTTCTTTCTTTCTTTCTTTCTTTCTTTCTTTCTTTCTTTCTTTCTTTCGTTCTTTCTTAAATGCTCTTTCTTTTTCTTATATAATCTTTCTTTCTTTCTTTCTTTCCTATTATGTTTCTTTCTTGTGATCATGTTACTTTCTCTTTTATATGCTCTTTTTCTTTCTTTCTTTCTTTCTTAAATGCTCTTTCTTTTTCATATATAATCTTTCTTTCTTTCTTTCTTTCTTTCTTTCGTATTATGTTTCTTTCTTGTGATCATGTTACTTTCTCTCTTATATGCTCTTTTTTCTTTCTTTCTTTCTTTCTTTCTTTCTTTCTTTCTTAAATGCTCTTTCTTTTTCTTATATAATCTTTCTTTCTTTCTTTCTTTCTTTCTTTCTTTCGTATTATGTTTCTTTCTTGTGATCATGTTACCTTCTCTCTTATATGCTCTTTTTTCTTTCTTTCTTTCTTTCTTTCTTTCTTTCTTTCTTTCTTTCGTTCTTTCTTAAATGCTCTTTCTTTTTCTTATATAATCTTTCTTTCTTTCTTTCTTTCCTATTATGTTTCTTTCTTGTGATCATGTTACATTCTCTTTTATATGCTCTTTTTCTTTCTTTCTTTCTTTCTTAAATGCTCTTTCTTTTTCATATATAATCTTTCTTTCTTTCTTTCTTTCTTTCTTTCGTATTATGTTTCTTTCTTGTGATCATGTTACTTTCTCTCTTATATGCTCTTTTTTCTTTCTTTCTTTCTTTCTTTCTTTCTTAAATGCTCTTTCTTTTTCTTATATAATCTTTCTTTCTTTCTTTCTTTCTTTCTTTCTTTCGTTCTTTCTTTCTTTCTTAAATGCTCTTTCTTTTTCTTATATAATCTTTCTTTCTTTCTTTCTTTCTTTCTTTCGTATTATGTTTCTTTCTTGTGATCATGTTACTTTCTCTCTTATATGCTCTTTTTCTTTCTTTCTTTCTTTCTTTCTTAAATGCTCTTTCTTTTTCATATATAATCTTTCTTTCTTTCTTTCTTTCTTTCTTTCTTTCGTATTATGTTTCTTTCTTGTGATCATGTTACTTTCTCTCTTATATGCTCTTTTTTCTTTCTTTCTTTCTTTCTTTCTTTCTTTCTTTCTTTCTTAAATGCTCTTTCTTTTTCTTATATAATCTTTCTTTCTTTCTTTCTTTCTTTCGTATTATGTTTCTTTCTTGTGATCATGTTACTTTCTCTCTTATATGCTCTTTTTCTTTCTTTCTTTCTTTCTTTCTTAAATGCTCTTTCTTTTTCATATATAATCTTTCTTTCTTTCTTTCTTTCTTTCTTTCGTATTATGTTTCTTTCTTGTGATCATGTTACTTTCTCTCTTATATGCTCTTTTTTCTTTCTTTCTTTCTTTCTTTCTTTCTTAAATGCTCTTTCTTTTTCTTATATAATCTTTCTTTCTTTCTTTCGTATTAAATTTTATTTCCTGTGATCATGTTACTTTCTCTATTATATGCTCTTTCTTTCTTTCTTCTCATATAATCTTCCTTTCATTTTTTCTTTTTTCTTTCTTTCTTTCTTTCTTTCGTATTATGTTTCTTTCTTTCTTGTGATGATGTTACTTTCTCTCTCATATTCTCGTTCTTTCTTTCTTTCTTAAATTGTCTTTCTTCCTTTTTTTCTTATATAATCTTTCCTTCTTCTTTCTTTCTTATGATGATATTACTTTCTCTCTTATATGCTCTTTCCTTCTTTCTTTTTTATATGCTCTTTCCTTCTTTTTTCTTATATAATCTTTCTTTCTTTCTTTCTTTCTTTCTTTCCTTCTTGTGATCATGTTATTTTCTCTCTTATATGCTCTTTCCCTCTTTCTTTCTTATATGTTCTTTCTTTCTTTTTTCTATCATCTTTATTTCTTTCGTTATTCTTTCTTTCTTTCTTTCTTTCTTTCTTTCTTTCTTTCTTTCATCTTTCTTTTTTCTTTCCTTTAGCAGCTTTCTTTCCGTTTTCTTTTTTTGTCATATCTTGTTTTTCCTTTTCTTTCTGTCTCGCTGTTTTAGATCTTTCTTTCTTTCTTTCTTTCTTTCTTTCTTTCTTTCTTTCTTTCTTTCTTATCCTGCCTTGCTTTTTACATCGACCTTTCTTTCTTTCTTTCTTTCTTTCTTTCTTTCTTTCTTTCTTTTTTTCTTTCTTTCTTATCCTGCCTTGCTTTTTACACTGACCTTTCTTTCTTTCTTTCTTTCTTTCTTTCTTTCTTATTTCATCTTTCTTTTTTCTTTCCTTTAGCAGCTTTCTTTCCGTTTTCTTTTTTTGTCATATCTTGTTTTTCCTTTTCTTTCTGTCTCGCTGTTTTAGGTCTTTCTTTCTTATTTCTTTCTTTTTCTTTCTTTCTTTCTTTCTTTCTTTCTTTCTTTCTTTCTTTCTTTCTTATCCTGCCTTGCTTTTTACATCGACCTTTCTTTCTTTCTTTCTTTCTTTCTTTCTTATATAGTTTTCTTTTTTCTTTCTTTCTTCCATCTTTCTTTTTTACTTTCCTTTATCAGCTTTCCATCTTTTTTTCTTATACCTTCTTTGACCCATTCTTTCTGTCTTTCTCTTTCATGTCTTCTTTCTTTCTTTTTTCTAGGATCTTTATTTTGTTCCTTTAATCTTTCTTTCTTTCTTTCTTTCTTTCTTTCTTTCTTTCTTATTTATTTTTTCTTTCTTTCTTTCTTATTTAATTTTTCTTTCTTTCTTTCTTTCTTATTTAATTTTTCTTTCTTTCTTTTTTCCTTCTTTCTTTCTTTCTTATTTAATTTTTCTTTCTTTTTTTCTCTTTCATTCTTTCTTCCTTATTTAATTTTTTTTTCTTTCTTTCTTTTCTTTCTTTCGCCATTCTTAATAATGTCGATATTCGTCATAAGATTAATACCGTCGGATTTTCAAACACGACATTTCAAATATTATAATTATATATATATATATATATATATATATATATATATATATATATATATATATATATATATATATATCATTTAATTCTTAATTGTAGTGTTATAGATTGCCTTGAGTGTTTTGCAGGAGGGGCGGGTGGGTTGTCTAGTTCTTATAAATAAAATCGAAAAAAACAAAAAACAAAACGTCTTGTAAAATCAAATTAAAAAACAATATTAAAAAACAAATTTGAAAATTTCAAATATGAAAAAAACATTTTAAAAAATCAGGTTTCGAATTAATTTTCGGTAAACAAATAAAACTCCTTTTAATTTATGCAATTATGCAGTTTCTTTTCACATTGTCTGACATCTTCAGGAAACTTGACTTGCTACTTGTAAATATCTTTAAAAAATAAGAAATTTTCGTGGATCTTTACCTCCCCCCACCAGAGACTTGCTTGAACGCTAAAGTTTCTTGTCTTCACAAGGAATGATTTATTTTGACACATCGACTGTTTATATAATGGTCATGAAGAAGCAAAGAGGGTTCTGTTTGCTCATGTAAAAGTCCGACTGAAAAGCTCGACTTATACTCGGTTCCCTCCTGTTTGCTTTTTTTTTGATAGTCAAAAATACCCGGATAGAGCGGAAGGCGCCACCAAATCACCCCCCCCCGCGGCCACCTGTAACACGCCCCTTTATGCAACACCCGCACACCCACAACTCTAACCCCACCTCCCACTCCAAAGACACCCTCTTTAACCCCACACCTCCGCTTACTAACGCGAATTCGAGTCACTATTGATTGACAGGTAACCTCTCGAATGTAACCGTGTACAAGTCGATCACGTGCATTAGCCGACTATTGAGAACGGGCCAGGAAATCGTTACTGTACGCCTCGTCTATTGGTCGACCCTTTCTTTAGCTTTGTGGCTGTGTGCTTCTCACGTGTGTATCGTGTATCAGTCGACTCATGAATTAAGCTCAAAATCTTTACCGCATGCCGCGAATATTAGTCGAGCCGAACTCTGGTTAGGTCTCTCAGTTTATCGTATGCATCGTGTATTAGTCGAATCTTACGGCTTTGGCGCGAGATATTTGCCCTATGCCTCGTCTATTGGTCGACCTTTTCTTTACTTCTGGCTGTGTGCTTCTCAGTTTATCGTATGCATCGTGTATCAGTCGACCCTCAGGATTTGGTCATAGAATATTTTCCGCGTACCTCGTATACCGGTAGATCCTTATTCCTCAGTTTACCGTATGTATCGTGTATCAGTCGACTCTCAAGATTTGGCCATAGAATCTTTTCCGCGTATACCGGTCGATCCTTCCTCAGTTTACCGTATGTATCGTGTATCAGTCGACTCTCAGGATTTGGTCATAGAATCTTTTCCGCGTACTTCGTATACCGGTCGATCCTTATTCCTCAGTTTACCGTATGTATCGTATATCAGTCGACTCTCAGGATTTGGTCAGAACCTTTTCCACGTGCTTCGTATACTGGTCGATCCTTCCTCAGTTTATCGTATGTATCGTGTATCAGTCGACTCTCAAGATTTGGTCATAAAATCTTTTCCGCGTACCTCGTATACCGGTCGATCCTTATTCCTCAGTTTACCGTATGTATCGTGTATTAGTCGACTCTCATGGTGATTTTCTGAACGTGGCTTAGATGTGGTACAAGGCTTACCGAAAGTATGGGGCACTCAGTGAGGATCGAACTCACGAATCAGTCACAACTGATCTAACGAGACAAGCTTGCAAGGCAATTAGATTACGTCGACACTCATGACTTGGTTATTAATTTATTACCATATGCCTTGTGTATTAGTCGAACCATTTTTTGTTTCTCAGTTTGCCGTATATATTGTGTATTAGTCGCCTCTCATGATTTTGCCACGAAATCTTTACCATATTTCTCGTAAATTGGTAAAAAATTTAGTTTTTTGGTTAGGTTTTTTAGTTAATATGTTGTTGTGGAATTATTTCGCAGTGGAGGCTTGTATTTGTACTAAATCGGTTCTAAAATAGGTTCGACGTACAAAACGTTAGGAACTTGATATAATAGGTATAACGCAGAGTAATCTAGTTGTGGTCGCTGATACTTTAGTATCCGACTAACTGTCGTCCGATATCGACTGACTAACCGACTCACTGACCGACCGTTACTATTACTACTCCTACTTATTATAGGTGGGAGAGTCTATTAACTATAGAATAGGTGTGTTCCACTATAAGAGTCTCCCTCTTACGTCTCTCTCTTCCGTCTCATCGCTCACCCGTACTCTCCCGTCTCATCGCTCGCCCGGGCCGATTCTCTCCTCTCTTCAAGAAATTTCTCCCGTCTGTCTTCTTCAGCATAACTACGCGTCTATATAGAAAAATCCAGCTGGTTACAACTTGGTCGCACGCGATTATCACGGGGTTCTGGCTGTTTCAACCAAAATCATGTGAATTCCAAAGTTCCCTCTAGCTTACTCAGCTCTATTTCAATTTGTAATCGATAAAAATTATTTCGGCCATTTCCATTTTTTTCCTGAATACCCAGATTCAATGGGTACAACTGGCCTAGATCAGATTTCCACATCAGTAAACAAAATGCTCTGATTTAATTTCACTATTCAAATCTATTCCAAGTTTTAATCAATAAAAATTATTTCGACCATTTCCATTGTTTGCTAATGACCCAGATCCTATGGGTACAGCTCGTGTCCTAGATCAGTTTTCCCATCAGTAAACAAAAATACTCTGATTTAATTTCGCTATTCAAACCTTCTCCAATTTCACTGATATATATATATATATATATATATATATATATATATATATATATATATAAAAAAATTATTACTTACTTGTTATGTTCAATAATTTCATATTTAAACCTTCTCCAATTCCACTGATATATATATATATATATATATATATATATATATATATATATATATATATATATATATCAGTGGAGAAGGTTTGAATAGCGAAATTAAATATATATATATATATCAGTGAAATTGGAGAAGGTTTGAATAGCGAAATTAAATCATATATATATATATATATATATATATATATATATATATATACGTGTGTGTGTTTGTGTGTGTTTTTCAGACTCTCTCTCCGTCACACACTCCCTGTTTTGCAATAGGTCGGTTACTCTGCCTCTCTTGATTTCAAAATCTTATAAGTGTTACATTCTCCAAGCCTTTATGTCCATCGGCCAGTGCTCTTGAAAAATCTAGGTAATGACAATGCGTACCCATCCAAGCCTTCTTTGCACATGTGCCCCAGAAATATCGACTGCCACTTTCTGATTTCAACTGTAGCACTGCGATTTCTCGCACATCCCCAGGAGATAAATAGATTCTTTTTCCTTTTATGTTAATTTAATGACCAGGGTTTCTTAGGAATCTTGTTTCCAAGTCCACCTTTGAGTCAATTTAATGACCAGGATTTTTTAGGAATCCTGTCTTCGATCCGCCTTTGAATTGGCAAACATAAAATTTTGTTAGTAATTTTAGATAATCATAAAAGTAGTCTTTTGAAAAACTAACTACCCAAAAGCTGAAAGGGTGTGTTATAGTGGAACAACCTAACACACCCCAACTGGGATTGGTCAGTCTAAAAGAGACGTGACTGGGAGAATAAAAGACGTGACGAACTATTATAGTAGAAGTGTATGAAGGACGACTACGATCTCTGTGACGTATGTGCCGTTTTATTGTTACATCAGATCATCCCATAAGTTCTGTCCGAATTTTAACTTTTTGTTAAAATGAACGAAATTTAAAGAGTATTTTATAATGTTTAATGGAGCTGAACATTATTTTTATGTTTAGATGCATTTAAACTAATCAAATTTTATTTCAGAGAACAATAAAAATAAATTTTGTTTGATTAAAACTCTGCTAACATGGAAGTAGCCAAGAATCATTTGAGGCACATAATGCTTTATGAGTTCAAGAAAGGAAACTCAGCAGCCGAAGCGGCTAGAAACACTCACTCAGTTTATGGAGAGGAATGTGTGAATGAAAGAACTTGCAGAAGATGGTTTGCAAAATTCAGAGGTGGAGATTTCACCCTTGAAGATGAAGATCGAACCGGACGTCCAGTTGAGTTTGATGAAAAGCTTCTTGAAGCAGCCCTTGAAGAAAATCCTGCTTTATCAGTTGAGGAATTGGCAGTGGTTCTCAGTTCAAACCATACAACTGTTCATCGTCATCTTCAACAACTTGGAAAACTTCCTAAACTTGGAAAATGAGTGCCTCATGAATTTTCTGAAAACAACCTCAAATCCCGAGTTGACATCTGCTCTTCTCTCCATTCTCGCCAACTTGTTTCACCTTTTTTGGATAGACTGGCGACGAAAAATGGATCGAAATGTTGCGCATCGTAGACAGTGGCTTGGTAAAGCGGAAGAACCACAGCCAAGAAGGGAACTTCATGGGCATAAGGTTCTTCTTTCAATCTGGTGGGATCGCCAAGGAATAATCCACTTTGAATTCTTACCACCTAATGCAACAATTAATGCTCAAATATACTGTCAGCAATTAGAGCGTTTGAACCAAGTTTTGAGGGAAAAAAGACCTGCTCTAGTGAATCGAAAAGAGGTGATGTTTCATCAGGACAATGCGCGACCCCACACAGCAAGAATCACGTCACAAAAGATCGAAGAACTTGGTTGGGAGAAAATTTCTCATCCACCTTATTCTCCCGATCTTGCTCCTTCAGACTACCATTTGTTTCGTAGCTTACAGAATCATTTGGAAGAAACAGCTTTTGTAACACAGGAAGAGGTTAAAACTGACATTTGTGAGTTCTTCGAATCAAAGCCAAAAGAATTTTACAGTAATGGAATTAGTAAGCTTGTTAATAGATGGCAGGAAGTCATAGATAATCAGGGAAAATGCATTGTTGATTGAATCTGTAATTAAATGTAACATTTGGTCACTTGTTTTCTTTATTCAAAATTCGGACAGAACTTATGGGATGATATGATATTTACGAACTCTTACTCATTTGTACTTTGCCGTACAATAAAACTTTGTTATTTGTTTTACTTAATTCCTGTGTTAGTGTAATCTTTCCACTCGGGATTACCTGGTTGCTTATATCGTATTATCCACGATATAACAGGGTGGTTCCATTTTCGCGAACACAAGTGGACGGATAGGGGTGGTGAGTCCTCTCGCCAATATCCGCAAAATGAGTGGTGAGTGAGGAGTTAGTCAGTGAAGAAAGGACCAGCAGTGAGTAAATCAGCAGTCAATGAGACGGTCAGAGAGTAAGCGGATTCTTTCCGTGACCGGAAGATAGCAGGAGTCCACCTTCTTGAAAGCGAACAAGAGGAAGCCATTGCCGATTAAGTTGCTACTTCATAACTATTGTCATCAAAAGCATTTGTCTTTATTCTTTGTTGAATTCGATCGCGGCTATTGAGAGAGACCTGTGAACATAACAAGCCGGGTGTATACGCACACAGCCGAACTTGGATGTCATCACAGCTTGTACAGTAAGGTGCAGAAACTGTCTCTTTCTGAATCTAAGTAGAATTTGCTCACACGCTTCGTCCGTAGTATTCTCAGTATCCTTCTGTAGAACCACATCTCTGGTACTTCAATTCTCCTCTTCATCTGTGAGGAGATTCTCCAGCTTTCACTGCCATATCGGAGGATTGATATGACACAGCAGTCCAGTACAATTTTCTTTGATTCTAACGAAGTTTTCCTGTTTCTCAATACTTTGCTTAGCTTTTGGAAGGCTTTTTTTTTTCGCTATTCCAATGCGCTTTCCGATTTTGGTGGGGACTTTTAACCATAGTTTCCCATAAAGAAGGACCTATATTACATAATAGTTCAGTACTCTTTTCTTTGTTGCTAACGAAATTTTCCTGTTTCTCAATACTTTGCTTAGCTTTTGGAAAACATCGGTCGCTATTGAGACAAGTCTTCGGATTTCGGTGTCACATTTAGTTAAATTTCTCCCTTCACATATCCCCATAAAAAGAAATCACACAGGGACAGGTCCCGGTAACCGCGGCGGCCATTTCCTCAGAAAACTCTCTTCATCTCCACCGCGGCGATACATCTCTTGGCAGATTCTTATTGAGATAACAAAAATAGAACATTAAATATAAAATCTTGATCTGTTTCTATAGATTCTGTGAAAATCTATGGTTATTTCAACAAGAATTGCCAAAATTATTGGCCTACGAAATGATGTCAAATTTTTTGCGGGGATACCCTGTATCTTAATATAAAGTAATTAATATAAAATATTAAAAATTAAAATATCTCTATCTCTAAAAGGCAGGATGTGTGTGTGTGTGTGTGTGTGTGTGACGAATGCACGGCCACAATTTTCGACGGATCTTCACCAAAATTTACATGCACATGCTCCAAGTTTGCGGGAAGGCCAACACCGACTTTGCACTTCCCAACTCCCATCGATAGTGGAAATAATCGATTTTTCATGCTTCTACGGCAGTTTTCATGTAGTCTGAGGCCATTTGGTACTGGCAAGAGTGAGAGCCTATAGCTGGCTGCCACGAATAGGCAAGAAGATTCTATTAGCCAGCGTGAGAGCCAACAGCTGACTGACACGAATGTTAGCTAGCATGCAAAAAAAATCGATAGCTGCATTCGTCACAAGTGGGAAAAATTTAAATCTGCATGGCACTTTACTCCAATTGGCTCATTCACTTGCTTAAACTCAACGTTGATTCTGATTCCGCAGAACTGGGTTCGGTGTGAAAAAGTATTTGTTGTTAACATTCTTTTTTCATTCGGTTTTTCCAGTTACGAGTCCTTTTTTTAAAGCTGATCGTTTTGTGTTCATTTTGTTTAGTTCTTTTTTCGTAACAAATTTAATGTTTAGTATAGAGCTTAGAAAAAATTTGCAGTGTGAGATAGGCAAGAAGTAAGGCATGTAGCAACATCAGCACGGCAAAGGGCACTCATTTAAAGGCAAGGAGGGGCAAAAATATTTTAAGTCAAGTGATAGCGATTGCTGTATGGGTCGAACGATTTTTGAATCAAGCACGGGCAACGCCGGGCCATGCTGCTAGTTAATAACAAAATTAATTGAATATATAAATTTTAGAAGGATTATGTATAAAGGAAGGATTAGCAATATTAACTTCTTCGGCAACAGGGGCAATTTCTGGTAAAATCATCGTCTCTCATGGCCTATATATATACTAGTGTACATAAATGTTCCATAGAATTTAGGTGCTAAATACAAGTCTATTTTCATTGAATTAGTTTTGCTTCAATAAAGGCAAAGTGATGGCTTCTGCTTTTATTTTAATTTTATTTTTTTTTATTCTGAAGGGGTGATTATGATAGACTAGATGGAAAAG